AAACTTCTCCTGTAACACCTTTTAAAAGGACTAGAGTAATGTAAAACTAATCTTCAAACAAAAACCAGCCCCTCCCCAACCTGATCCTGGCTGTACCATCTTCTCCTCAGCTTACTTTTGGCAAGCAGAAACTGGAATTTTGCTTTCTCTGCTTGCAGAAGAGAATAAGAGGCATAGCATCAAATTTTGCCAGAAGTGTTGCATTACCTATCTTTTTGAAATTAGAAATCATTCAAAATTCATGTGTTTTGAAATAGCTTTTCTGTCTCATGTTTAGAGTAGTTAAATAAGTGCTAAATAGCCAGAAAAGCTTTACACTTTTTCTTGGCTTTTCTGGCAAGAATGATCATATCTGCTTTTCTCACTGCCAGCCCTTCTTAATAAGTAGCTGAAAACTGTAGAAGTTTTATGAATCAGCTCATGCTGCTTTCTGTGCTTTGCTGATTTACAGTGAGGGAAAAATGGGCTTAGTAACTGGTGGACTAATAGGTGCTGGTTTATAGGCATTAGGTATTAAATTAAATATTCCTAAACATAGATTTATAGACATACTGTCAAAAATAATTTTATTTTTAATTATATTTATTTTATTTTTGGGTTTATATTAATATAGTAATGTTTTATTGTATGTCCTGAATGGTTATTTTGAAAGTAGTGTTCATACAGTATAGGATGGCCTGTGATCAATTTTGTTATAAATAAATGTTTTATAATAATACACTTCATTAATAAGTACTGATCACTGTATTTTCTTTAGTATGGTCTGGATGATTTTTTAAAATTTCTAATTATTTCTGTTAAGTTACACCTCACTCAGCTATATCAATCAACTATTAAGGAAGTAAACTTTGAGAATGTAGAGAGCCTAAAATGTGTCAAAGATTTATTTATTTGTTATAGTCAGGAGGGCTCGGTATCTTGCCAAAGGTCATAGGAAGCATTTGTGACCAAGGGAGTCTCTTTGCTTTGTGTCCAATTCTTGTACTTGAATTATTGTCACATTTAATGTGTGTTTTCTGGTATTTTCCATGTACTCCAGATATTTGTTATGGAAATCAAGTCATTAAGTACCACATCTAGATGTTGGGCTTCTGTGGTAAGGTAATTGTCAAAAAAGTGGTTCCTTGTTGAAGTGTTGGTGTTTATATTTAAATACCACATTTTCTTTAAAACTTCTATTTTTCAGTTGTACTGCTTTTTTTTCTTTGTGTAATTTTCATAAATTTTGCGGTAAACATGAGGTATTTAACACTCTTAACTTACTTAATTAAAATGTGGTTTACTATTTACAATTAAACTCTGTTTGAGTGTATTAGTTCCTCATATTTTGATTTAGCTCAGTGTGGTTGATTCCGACATAATTTTTTTGTTAAGTAAGAGATTAGACTACCATAAATAAGAAAAAAGTAGGATAGTCTCATTGCTTGAAATTAGTGAGATGATATATAGGGGCATAAAACTTCCTATAAATTCATCTATCCAGGCAGGTTTTTCTTTTTTTTCATGATGTATTTGAAAAAAAAAAAAAAAGTGGACATGTGCATAAACTGTGAGTACAATTAGCGTCAAGCAGATAAATCCAACTCTAATCCTGTTTACGCTCTACATCAGGCAGATGTGCTGAGATTGATTCAGACAAGCCCTTGGCTTATAGTAACTTTTTTTTTAAAGTGCCATATATTCTGGTTTTGTTAGATCTTTGTTAAATGTTAAGTGCTGTTAGTTTTGCTCTTCCCTAACGCCTGTAACCTACTTTATGCAGGTTATTCCCTCTCTGCTTTCATGATGACAGGGCAGCCTGGTAGAAGAGATTATCTTTATTCCTTGTAATTAAATTGACTTTTTTTTTTTTTTTTTCCAGAAGATACAACAATGGGAAGTGGGTACTGAATTAAATAAATAGCATGATATCTAATAGATGTACACTTAAATCTCTTGCAAGAACAGATGGTACCCAATATCTTTCTGAGTAATGTGAGAGGACAGTTAATGTCCTGAAACTGCTCGCAATAACCAATACGATACTAACGAGCCAATGCGGTTTTCAAAGTTTAAAAAGTGTTTAGTACAATATATACGTTATTGCAAAAGTAAGCTTGGTTGCTACCTCATTCTAGAAATATTTTATAAACACAGCTCGTGACTTAAATTTTCTTTTTCTGAGTTGTTTTATACAATTTTACTTCATTTGAGATGGTCTTATTTTCAGTAAGGAGAGAAAATGAAAGTTATAGAATATGCCTGGGGTTTTATGCAGATTTCATTACAACTTTAGGAAAAAATAGGCTGTACTAATCCTACTAGCTAATTCAACATTTTCTCTAGAAATTAAAACTCAAGGATGATGGTTTTATGCAATTCAGCATTCCTAGAGTTTATATCCTTTTCCAGGATGCATCTGGAAATGTATTCCTGTAAAACCAACAAAGTCAGATAGTGGTTTTGAAAGTCTAGTGCTGCCTAGTAAGAAAGTTTTATTTTAAATATCAAAAGTTTTGATATGCATCTGAGCAACATCAGAATTTGATAAATACAGAGTAAGAGGAAGATGCACAAGCAAGTAAATAACTGGCTGAAATAGTCATGAAAAGAAGATGCAGAACTTACCTGGCTTAAGACTAAATGTCATTTTATGAAAGCCAGTGGGAAATAAAAAGTGTTTTATCAGGCCTTCATTTTCATTGACTTGTGCAGGATAAATAGACTAATGTTTGTAACTTATATGTGAGGCACATCCATAACATTGGCATAATAGAGTTCATGATATCCTCAGCAAAACTAAGAGTTAAATCCAAAATATGATTTATTTTAAAGAATGATTTATTTAAAAGTATTTAAAAATCAAGCCCACTTAGAATATTTGTATTGGTCTGGGAAAATGAATGTTGCAGATCAGTTATTGCTGCAGAATGGTTGTGGTTAAATTTCCTTTCTCCTAAAACATGGAGGTTGTGTGCTGGCATTTTCAGTGTACTTGATGTCTGACAGTGAGACTTTGTGAAAAAACCTAAGCAAACCCCCTCAAAAATTCTGTTCTAAAAGTTAAAACAACTCTTTAATGTACATGTTAAACTATGAAGTTCTAGGTAATTTTGGACCACCAGTCAGTTTTTCATTTCAGGCCTACAAAGACTATTTACCCTTAAATGTTTTAGAAGATACAAATTTTGACAGAAATGAAGATTTTGGTTTTGGTAATGTTAGTACCAAGTTTGTTTGTACAATGTCCACTTTGAGTTTGTGTAAAATTGTAGTTCAAATGGAATCATACAGTACTTCTTCCCCCTCAGTTCCCTCATTTTTAAAGGATACATTGACTGAAAATACTTTTACAGCAGTTGTTACAGTACTTCAGGATTTATGTTGGGTTTTTTTAAAGAAGTATTTAGGTGAGTTTTCTCCTGTTTATTTGTTGTATACTTCTGAAAATATGCACTACAGACAGTTTCCTGTGTACTGTCTCAATGCACAGTACTCTCAATTACTTGTCACAGTATTCCTGCTAAGAGTGGAATGATTTCAGTCCAGTTTTACACCTTAGTAGCTGATTTATGGAGATATTAAGGATGATAGACTATAAAAAGTTGGAAAAAAATATGTGGGAAATATAGCAAGGTCATGTTTCTATTTGTCACAGGTTATTTGGTACAGAACAGGAGAAAATGAATTGGTTGAGAATTGTGAGGAGATGTCATTATTGGCTTGAGCTTTAGCTGTGTTAGCATGGCTGAGGAGAAGTCATCCAGGATTCCTGGACAGAGAAATTATCACTGCATAGCCCCCTTCCAGAAATGATGTTGAGAAATGACAGTATCAAACTGTTACAAGAATTGACAAAGTCATCTTTTTGCTGCCCAGAAAAAAAGTATGTGACTTTCTCAAACCCTCAGCTTCATGTGGTCTAATGAAGTAGGGGGTGCTGTCCGTCTTTCCCTGGGTGACAATTAAAATAGGTTTTCCCAACACTCCAGTGCAGCATGTAGGAACTATTCATCAAACAGAATCTGCTACAGTTTTTGCTATTGACAAACCAGAGTTGTTGCTAGATTTGGGGAAGTTTTCTGCTTTCTAGCGTTGGCTGCATTGGGCTGCAAAGGGACCTTTATTGATGTGCTGTATCAGATCTGCTTAATTATGAAGAAAGCAGGGAAAATTTTCTTTCTGCGTCCAAAGAATCTGATACCTACAGGAAGGGTGATATTTTTCCTTCAATTTGTGTATTTGACATTGGTTTTGAGGAATTGAAATGTAGTTGAAGAGAGCAGAAAAAGGAGAAGCCTGTACCATAGTGCCTCAGTTGATACATCTCCAAAAGGCACTTGGAAATGAAGTGGTAGCATCTGCAGCCACAGCATCCACGCCAATAGCAGCTCCAAGATAACAAAACCTTCCCTTAGCTGACACAAATCTCCCCTGGGATGAGGATCTTCAACTTTTTTCAAAATGTTTTTCTTGTCTTCTAAACTGAACTCATAAATCAAAAATGAAAGCAAAGATGGGTAACACAGTTTTGGCTTATTTGTCTATTTTTCCCTTGACAGTTTTCTGATACGTTTCTGCTGTAAACACAAAGGTAATGGTTGTATCAAATGAGAAAATATAGTGAGCATATAATCAGCTTGGGTCATGGCACACTTTCTGATCTATGATTTGCAAATATGACTGCTATGATTGCTATGATTTAGGTGAATAAAGAATTTGCTTTTCGAGTGCGAATTCAAAAGAAGTCTTTCTTAGAGTGTGAAATTTTATTAATTTTTTTGAACACCAGAAAGCTGGGTAAATAACCTCTTTGAAATTGTTTTGTTTGTACAGCTGGATACATAACAAAGTTGGTAAAACAAAAGACCAATGATTGAGGGAAATGATATGCCATGAGTTTCAATGCAAGCATGAACAGATGCAAGAAGTGAACCTAGAAATGAAGCCCTAACAATACTTTCAGTTGTTACTCCCAATCACTGTAGTAACGCTTTTTTATTTTTTTTTTCCCCTTACAGGTGATTCCAGTGTGGCTTTACAGGCTCAAGAGGAGATTATTGAAATGAAGGATGTATTTTCAGTAAAACTGAAACGTCGTCGTTTTGCAGGGCAGAAAAAAGGTGGTACATTGTTGGGTATCACAATTTTTAAATGCTTGAATAAAGAAGAGAACAAGCTTACAGACTATGCTATCCATTTAAATAACTTAAGTGAAGATCATTGTCAGTCATGGTTTAGACATCTGAAGGAAATTTTAAATGGTAAGCATTTAATAGAGGTTGATGTCGTATTTATTTCTATTGTCAATACATGAGGCTGACTGAAGCTCAGAAACATCTTGCCTGTAGAAATTCATATAAGATATGAATCTTATTTCTGGCAAATGTTTACTGCTGAAGTTTTACATGGTGAAGTGTAAAATCTAGGAAAGTGACAATAGTTGACTAATGTATCTGTAAAAATGAAACAAATTGATGTTATTTTTGGAAGAGTTTTGGAAGATACTGAAAAGAAGTGGTTTTCTTTATTCTGACTGAAGAGTCTTCTGGGAAATCTGCTTCTGAAAGGAATAACATATTTAGTTGATATTTTCACTTGAAATTGCATCATAACTGATAGTACTACAGTAGTTGCACTTCTGGGAGCTCTTCAGGAACTTACTGGTGATGGTTTATGAAATCCCACTTGAGACCTCCATGTTCTTTAGGAGCCTAATAGGAGAGACTTTTCTCATCTTCATGAATTCACAGGTGGCAGTGCTCTTAAGGTTCTGTAGCACTCTTGTTTCATAATTTGATACAAAATTTATTGACAATAATGATGGGATGCAATTCTTTACTTTAAAAGTATCTTTCTGTGTTTGCCTAGGCTACTGCCAATTTCAGGATGCTTTGTTTAATCAGTTGTAGGGTTGGTTGGTTGGGGTTTTTTATTTTATTTTATGGAAACTCTATCAGAATTAAGAAAAAAATACTCGCCTTATAGGGGAAAGAGCCCCACATGAAATCCAAGCCTTTCACTGTAATTTATATTTGAAAGGCACAGAATGTAGCACACTTTTGATTTAAATAACTAAAACTACATCCCTTCCCCAATACCAAACTCTGATTTAACTCCAAAAGGTGCCTCTGTTTACAGATTATGGTAAATGAGTTTTTTTATTACAGAAGAAAAGCAGTCTATCTTGTGACACACTATTAGAACTCCAGCTGAACTGTTAAGACTGAGCCAGATTATGGAATTCAAACCTTGTACATCTGTAGTGTTTGGAACAACACTTTGAATAAGAATTTATGGTGTGCTTTTACTAAAGTTTCACAAGCAGATATTAAAGAAACAACATAAGTTATTAATGGTGCATTCTTGCATTGTTTGTTTACAGTATGCTTTGGATTTTCCCAGTGAAGATGTGCATTGAAAAGTGCCTTCCCTTTTCCCCTTTTGAAAGACTTTATCATGAAATATCTCAATCTGCAGAAGTGCCAGGATTCCTGTAGATCTCCAGCTACCCATAAAGGCAAGGACATTTGCATAAGGAGCAAATGTCTGTTTTGTACCTAGATTACTGTCCATCTATCAGGAGCAGTGATACCATATGTTCACAGAAAAAAAAGCTGCAGTATCTCTAGCTCAGGTTGCCTTGACCTCGAGGTGCAGTCTGTGTTTTATAGCTTTGTAATTGGAAGCCACCTGAACCTGAAAAAAAAAAGTATTCTGTGCAATGCTGCTTCAAGTTCTTGCTTCGGTCTTTCTCCAGAAGCTCAGACCTTGTACAGATGTTTTCTGAATCTCTGATCAGTACATTTTTTTCTCCGTGCCTTCTACTTCAGGAATAAACAGGACTCAGAGAGATAAAAAAACCAAAGTAAACCCTCATCATACCAATTGCTAATGTGTATATTCTTCTAAGTCTGAACTAAAACTATACAATGCGGCTGAGAGCTGAGTTCTCTTGATTTCTCAGTGGCTGATATTTCTGTGTGAAACAGTGATTTTTTTTTTTTTTTTTTTTTTTGGTAATAGTGCTGGAGTCACTCTTGTTAATGAACTCAAATGGCTGCTTCTGGTTTTATCCTTTTGAAGTAGTAACTATTACTTCCCTGCCCTCCCTGCTCCCCCAGTCTGTCTGATCACAAAGTAATTTTTCATAGGCAGCTGCATTATTTACTTGAAGGATTTTTTTTATTGTTTCTGGGCTGGATCAAATTAAAAGCAGGTGATTTATCAAAGTAGAACATATATATCTATTTGGTCAATAATATTGAGACATTCTGACAAATGGGAGTACATGTTACTGACAGGTGTGTTTCCTCTGCAGATAAATTAAATTTCTACTTGTTTACCTTACTCTTTGACAAGTTTTTAGGTTTTTATGCGTGTACATTAATTAGGGAACAACAATAGCAAGTTTATTGGTGATAGTATGAATAAAACCTCCAAATTTTAATTGGAGGTTTAAATTAAACAAAGTTTATTTGGAGGTTTCTAATGAAGATTTTATTTTTTCTGAAGTTTCATGCACACAGTTTTCTTTTTACAGTGTGATCTGTGTCTGGCATGACACATGTCATGACATAAATGGTGTTTTCCCTGTTCGTTTTTATTATCTTCACAGTGAGTGTCCTCTGTTGCTTTGACTTTGTGTTCAGAGCACTTCAATTTAAAATTTAACTGAGCTGTAATTTTTATGAAGCCTGTTATCATGTAAGTGAGCACACACAGATATAAATGCTTAGAATTTAGTTACAGTGACTGCTATTATGGTTCTTTCTGTGGGTGTGTGACAGGGTAACAAAATATATGTACCACCATCTTCCCATATTTGAGGAAGTTCTTATTTTCTGCCTGCTGTTGCTGCTGTTCCAGTGCATGCCAGCTAGATATGAAGAGCTTACTCACTGATAGAGTGTTCCTGAAATCTGATCTGTACATCCCATGTGTGTTAAACTGCTGTAAGATGACCACTGCCATCTTTATGCACCTCTGGAGCCTTGGCTCTGGGCTGGCTCCTGTAAGGCCCCAAAGGGCAGGTTAGACAGGGTCTAGTGTGCTGTTATCTTGTGCCAGCCCTGGTGCACAACCCACTCTCAGTGATTTCCATTTATACATCACATCTTGTAGTACAGGATTTACAGGCATGGCCTGTGGGGACACACTGTGTCAGTAGAATTCACTGTTTCATCTAAAATCCTCTGCACATGCAAATACACAGTGGGTCTGAAAGGGTTGAGGCAGGCTCAAAAATGAGAGAAAATGTACAGTTGTCAATGCTCATCCATTTTTTTTTAACAAGATAAGACTTACTAACAGCTGATTTGAAAAAGCTTTACTTAAAAACTCTTTAAACTAACAAAAGACAGTAAATGTGGTTAAGAACAAATGGTAAAGTAGCAAAATAGCACAAAGTGCATTTTATTTTTATCTGCTGTTCTGTAGTATCTATCACACGGGGATTTGATATGAAAGCCTGAAACTTCATGCATGAAGTTTTAATTAAACCATTAATGTTAAACATTAACTTTGCTTAGTTAATATTAACAGTGGTGTCTCCATAGTTACATCAACGACTCTGTCTCATAGTGTTAGTTTTTCTCATGTATAATATTCCTAATGTTGTATAAAGTATTTATAAATGTAGGTGGTAATGACATGATTCCAGGCTCTTAACTTTTGTAACATAAACCCATTTTCCTGAGGCTGGGGCCTGAAAGCAGCACAGATGTATGTCTGAGCACAGCGTCTCTGCTGCCCTAGGAGCCTTTGTTTTCAGAACACCCTGATTGACCCACCACCCTTCATGGTTCACTGATTCACTTGATAGATCAAGTTTAAACTAGTGCATATTAGCACATTTGTTAGTACTAGGGGAACAGTTGGCCTTCCTGCTTTAGGCTGCTGGCTCGTTTCAAATGGAGCAGCCAGGGAAAACAATAACAGAATACCAGTTAGGGGAGCCCCAAAAGGCTGGCAGACTGGGATCAGTTGCACACAGTAGTCAATGACATTGATTCATTCATATAGATGTTGTTTAAAGACAATTAAAAGATTATTATTCAAAAACACTTTAAAGAAGCTTCACAATTATATTGTGTGAAAGTTTAATCTTTGGCTGTTACAGGATATGCTTTCATTAAACTCAGTTTTTTGGTGTGTTCTAATGTGTCCGGTGCACACCAAGAATGATAAAGTAATAAATTTTGTCATGATCATCCTTTCATGTCAGTTGGCAATTATTTGGCGCAAATAAAATCACTTCAGTAGGGCACTATCTCAGCTCAAATGTTTGTGAAAAATATTTCCATCAATGAAATGTTTTATCTCTCTAAAAAAGTAAATTGATATTCAAATAGTCATAAAGAGAATATTTTAATACTTTGAACCTGTGAATTCATTTGGTTCTTTAAAATCTTGCTGGGATTTATATATTAACTCTGATATGCTTTTCAGCAATAGCCCAATATACATAATCATAAATACAGTTTCTGGTTTAGAATGGTTTAACAAATTAATTTTTCTTAAAAAAAATAAATTAAACCATTTCCTCAAAAATCTAGGATTTTTCCCCCCACCCACTGAAAAGTCTATTTTCTTTTGCCTCTGTAGGATTTCTTTTGGAACTTTATATTGCCACCTAGGGTTAAATTTTTACATCTCACATGCAAAAAACACTGAAGTGAGATAGTGATGTTTGCTTTTCTCCCTTTAATTTTCTCCTGATCTCTGTTTCGCAGAACTGTAACTCACACTGAACGGGTAACAGAAGTTTTGACACTTCGTCTGCTTTCTCTGCTTCTACAAACTGTACTGTCCTATTCTTTCCCCCTGCTTTGTCCATTGTACTCTTATATTTGTATGTTTGGGGTGTGATTTTGGCTTGTTTTTTGTAACTTTAAAGGTATACTCAGATATCCATGACTGAAGTCAGTTTTTACAGGTTTTTAGCTGTGGGTGTTGGTGGGGGGTTGAGTGTTAGGAGGACCAGCTGATCACAGTTTCTTGTAAATAAGATAAGAAACATGACAGCACATATATGAATTTGGTTAAATCTTTCATCTTTTGAAGCAGGAGTCCTTATTCTTATAAGTTTTCTGCTTAATTTTTACTAATGCTTTAGGCAAATGATAAAGTCACAGAAATTATTTTTTGGTCTTAATATTTTTATAATTTCTAAAGAACTGCAACAATACCAGTTACTAGATTTCAATTAAGACATGTCTTTATGATTATTATTTGTATGTATTAATAGTCTTTGGAGGCTTTTGTTTAGTTTTCCTTGTTTGTGCTGTAATTCTTGTAATAAGAAATTGCACTGCAGTACATACCTGCAGTGCTTCTTTCTGTTTCCAGAGAATCAAGAAGATTTTAGGTTGGAATGGTCCTTTGGAGCTGATCCATTCTAGCTTCCTGCTCAGGGCAGGTGAGCTTCTAATAAAGATCAAGTTGCTAAGAGCATGTCCAGACAAGGTCTGAAAACCTCTAAGGATGGACAGTGTCATCCATGGCTGCCCTCCCTGTGAAGGGTGTTTTTCTTTATTCACTGGAATATTCCTTGTGCCACTTGTGTCCATGGCCTCTTTGTCCCTGCACCTGTGGGAAGCCTGGCTTGGTGGCCTGTGGCTCGCACAGGAGATGCTCAAGGAAAGGTTTCAGTAGGTGTTGTCCTTGGGGCTGGCCAGGCCGGCTCTCCTGCCTGCGGCCTGCTCCGGCCCCTTGCTCCAGGGGCAGCTCTGTGTCAGACCTGCTGCCCTTCATCTCTCTCGTGCTGGGAGGCCTGGAAGTGGGGGCAGTTCTTCAGCTTCAGGCTCAGGAGGTGCTGAGAACAAGGCTGTGGTGATATCCTTTGGACTGCCAGCTGCCCTCTTGTTCCTGCAGCCCAGCGAGCCCCTGCCCTTCCTGACTGCCCTGGCACTGTTCCCTCATGTCAGCTCCAGTCCCCCGGGAGCTGCCAGTGCTCCCTGAGGTGCTCCCTGCCGGAGCTGCCAGTGCTCTCAGAGGGGGCTGTGGGCTGGAGCTGCCAGTGCTCCCTGAGCTGCTGGAGCTGCCAGTGCTCCCTGAGGTGCTGGAGCTGCCAGTGCTGCCCGCTGGGCCCGGCCCCATCCCACGCTCAGAGGGTTTGGCTGGCTCAGGTGCTGGGCTTTGGGTTTGTCTTATCGAACATCGTCAGGCTTTTCTCAGATCTTTCTTGTAGCTGATCAGGTTCCTCATGAACAGCAACCCTTCCCTACAACACATCCACAGTCCTCACCAAGTTCCTTATTTTCTTTTTCCTCCTTTGAAAGAGATGCTTTTGAACACAGGTGCTTGTTACTGCAGGCGTTCAGTATTCTCCAGGATTAATTTGCTCTGCAATGACTTGGCACTCTGTGTAACATTTTGACATAAACATGGTTATACATTTTTTTTTTTTGTGTATGATTTTGTGATTATAGCAGCAAACTGATCCAATAATTTCCTTCAGTATATTTAAGAACTCTTCTAAATTTTCTGACACAAACTGGATAAAGAGCTAGTTTTCTGTTCAAGATTCTTTGATGTGTTGAAATAAATGGAAAAATTATCTCTGTGACGTCTATAATTATGTTTTGATATTAAGGAATTCTTTCCTCTTTAATTTTGAAATAGTGTTTAGCTATAATTTCTTTGAGTAACTGTTCCTGTTCAGTTGTTGAGGTAGAGTAAGTGGAATGAGCTTGGAAGTCCCTGCTGACACTGAGGGTACATATGGCTGCAAAAATTGAAGTAGTATTCTTCATGGGGCAGGAAAATGTGCTTTCATTCTTGGCTCTCTTTGGAGATGTGGGCTACTACTAATTTTGTTCTTGAATGTTGAAAGCAGTACACTTGCCAGATATTCTAGCTTTTATTTGGCTAAGAAAGTGATAGTCTACCCTGATACTGAAACAAAATTCTGGATTGTTCAAATTGAGTATTTTAAATAAACACCAAAAGAAGAGCAGTATTGCACACTACTGCTTGCTTCTTGTAGCAAAGCAGCCTCACTGAACCGTGGTAGGAATTCTAGGAAAGGGAATTTGGAAAGTAATGTTATTGGTTTAGTATGAGTTATTTACTCTTCAACAAAATGCCATGTTTCAAATAATAAAATTACTTCATGGGATCACTGTGCAAGAGAAGGTTCAGCTTTGCATAGCAGTATTTCTCAGTGTTATTTCCTTGGAGTTTGTTACTCCAAAGGCCTAAATGAACAATAATTCTCAGATTTCCAAATGATACTGCCAATTTTCTGTTTCTTTATATTTTTGGACTTCCTTTGGACCGTTTGATTTACACTCTCAGAAGAGTGTTGGATTGTTGTGTCAGTTTTGTTGGATGTTCCTTTCGTGTGCCTGCTGGGAGGGAGTCATTAAATTCCAACAAGGATATATTCCTGTGTTTGTGGTTTTTAATTTTTTGGTGCTCAAACTTCACACTTACCCTGCTCCTGAATCAGGGTTTAACTAGGCTATGACATATACACTTCTTTTCAGGTTCCTACAGCTGTTTATTAGCTGTGCACACAAAATTCATCAATACTGTAATTTAAAGATAAGTAGTACAAATGCAAGAAGAAATTGAGACTTTTTTAGACTGTAATTTACTTATCCTGTCAAAGTATTGTAATGGTTCTGATTTTAAAGAACCATTTAAGCTGCAAAAATAGTCAGGTTGTATGTAATCTTGAATGTTTCGTTTTCTTTTTAGGTTTTCAAAACAGACCTAAATCCTTGAAAGTTTTTGTTAATCCAAGCAGCCACAAAAGAGAAGCCACTAGCATTTATTATGAAAAAGTTGCACCTCTTTTTAAACTTGCTGACATAAAAACTGATGTCACAGGTAAGTTGCTTCAGAAGTATAAATTAATCCTTTGTGAAGCTAACAGTTAAGCATGTGAGACTATTTGAATTTACTGCTAATCCTTATTGCCTCTGACTGCAAGTACTGCATTTGGAACTCTAGTTAATACAACACAATGTATTTTTATTTTGTCCAAAAGTGCTTTAGTAATTCTTTTATTGATTCAGTATTTTTCACCTATAGTAATCAATACTAGTAAATTAGTCTTTTTTCCTATGTCTGTTGTAACTGACTTGGAAAATTATCAGTGTCAGCTTAAACAAATTATAAGAGGTCTCATCTTGTAGTTGTTCCTTAAATTTCTTATGAACTGGTGACTAGTTCAGGTTGCAGGCCAAAAGTTATTTTGATAAAATCTGACTTAGCCATGAGAATATACTAGTGCAATAATGGTAGATGAAAATTGTCTTGCTAATTTTATTCCCTGTATCCATGTATTTTTTAACTACTTAGCCCACAATTTAAAGTAAAATAAATTGAAGATTAAAGACGCATTAGAAGAAATGTGAAAAAGGTGGTCTGTATTAGAATTCTGTAGCAATGATTTCTTAACTACCCTGAACTGAGTGGGAATGCCAGCAGCTTTATATAAATTTTAATTCTCTTTAATTCTCAGACATATTTTCCACCTGGAAGGCATGGATCTTAGTGTGAACAGATTAATAATGCTGTCATATTAGGAATTGACTTAGCCTTGTTTGGTCACAATTTAAAAAAAAAAGTTTTAATACAAGCTGGGAATATAATTTGTGGAGGTTTCAAAAAAATTTTTACTAGTGGAATAAAAACAGTTTTAAGTTTATTTTTTAAATTGTCTTTGAAATTTTAATAGGAAACTTCTGAGTCGAGCCAGAAACATTTTTAATGGCTTATCCTTTAATTAAGGTAATTTAATTAAGGTCATTTTGGCAATGCTGAAATACTCCTGTGCTTATTAGCTGCCTAACACTCCTCCTACAGGCAAAATGAGAAAACTACATTGCAGTTTTCTATGCTAGTAGAGAACTAAATAATTAAGAATCATGGGTTTTTTTAAAAAAGAGGATGGTGTTGGGTGCTGAGTAGAAATCCTGCCCACTGGTACCCTATTCTAATAAAACCAAGCACTTTATTTCAAGTAAATAGAACTGTTTTTTTTCCTGCCATAATTGTTTTGGATTTTGTGAAGTTGGAGTGTGCATCTTGCTCTTCCTGCTGTTTTGGAACATGGCCAATATTTGCATAACTGGTGGCATACAAAGGTGTATTAGATACTGAAATTGTGAAGGCTTTTGTACAATTTTTGCACTGAAGATAGTTTACATTTAGACTTCGCCATGTACACATATTTAAAATTCATTGAATGAGAAGTTAAAATTAGTTGAGCACAAAAATTTTGTAGCAAATTTAAACCTCTGAATTAGCTTCTGGTGCAAATAACATAAAAAATTCTCAGGTTACTTAAAACACTTCAGAACATCAAAGATTGACAGTGGAGTGCTGAAAGACAGAGCTCTCCTCAGCCAGTCTTGTACATTGGTAGCTGTTGCTTCCTCTCTGATCAGCTTTTCAGATCTTATTCTTCATTATAGCTTCTCTTGGAATAAACTTCTTATGTGTTTAGAAGTTTGGAGTGGAAATATTTTCTCCTACCCAAGGACATATGGCAATCTAAAGACATGTATGTAAATAAGTGAGTGCTGAAGTAGCATTTACTTTTTCTAATTAGTTAAAAATTTTGTAGCATTTTCTTCCTTTTTTTTTTCCCCTCCCCCAAATGGCTTTGTGTGCTACACTTTAATAATTTCAGTAAAAAAAACCAAAGGTGTTATGGAGTGGATTGTGTTTTGCTGGTTTTTTGGGTTATTTTTGTCACATGCAGTAAGCAAATCTCTGAAGTGCTTAGAGCTCTAGAAAGTGTGAATTAGCAAATTTAAACTGAAGCAGTACTTTGAACTGTGGCTAAGGTGAAACAATAGTTAAAATCTGTCCTCTTTTAAAAATTGGGCAATTTTTTGTGCTGGGATGTGGCTGCTAGGATAAGAACCGTGACTCTTCCAAAAATTGAGTTCTACAAAAGCTTACTCCACTGTTGAGATGCCTGCAAGTACTGGCAAATTGTGATAATTGGAGCTAGTATTTTAGAAATACATTAATGCATTGCAAAGTCTTACGCATATTTAAAGAAAAATAAATAAAGGAAACACTGACAGAATCCTGGCTTGTCTCACTTCTCTTCCTAGTTTTGACTCTTTTGCTTCCATTTATGCACACTTACAACCTGGACTTTTAGGCAAAAATAACAGCCTTCCCAAACTCCTATTTTTAGGGCAGAACCACAAAAGAAAGGAATGTTTGAGAGTTGGACAAATAGCATTGGTTTAAACTTACCATATGGTAAATACCAACAGATAACTGGTGTTGATGCTGGATGAGAAAAAGCTGTTATCAGTAACAGTTAATCCCATTGATTTTGGCATTCCATTCTGTGGCAGGAGTGCCAGTATGTTTAGGTGGCACACGAAAGCATCCCCTGTTTTGAAGTGTTGAACTAATTTCATATCACTATTATATTATTTTACATTTTCTGTGTGTAGAGGCCAAGCCCTTGGTTCTTGCTTGCCCTGTGAAGAGGATGTTAAAGTGTTTTTGGAGTAGGTGTGACTCTGTTCAAATGAGGTGCACCTTTGGTGTCCTTCCTTCAGAATACTGTCATCTGACGCTTAAGGACAAAACATTATTGAAAAAGAAAATCTTTCTAAATTATGCATTAGAAATGGTCAAAAATAACTAAATAATATTCTTGTGATAATGATTTTGACAAATATGAGATCTGGATCCTTCTCAAACAATGAAAGGAGCTTTCTTCCTATTACTGAAATACATTGAGTAGGTTTTTTTGTTTGTTTGTTTTCCCCCAAATTGGAACAGTGCCAAATATTCAAACACTTAGCTTTTTTTTCCAGCTATCAGAATGATTTATACATGCCCTTCTGGAGGTTGTCAAGCCTGCAGAAAACTTTCTAGACATGGTCATTTTATGTCTGTGTTGAATTTTTCTAGGTTCTTTTTCTACTTGAATTATTTTCTATAGTTTCTCACAAAATTTTTCCTGAAAACCTCATTTTTTCACTGCCTTCTTGTTATGATGTGTCAAAATAGATCCTCTATCATTCTCTCATCAAATTTTAACTTTCTTGTAATTCCCCAATCTTAAGCCTTTAGCAGTTTTTCTACATAATTCCCAAACTTAAGCTATTAGATGCAAAGAGGATGGATTTGCTCTCAATCTGGCTAACATTAGTAATTTTTACTGCCTTTATTGGTTTCTCTGTAGACATGAGCTGTCTTCATTTTCATGTCCTTGTTCTTTGAGTGAATTAATTCTGTAACAGTAAGCATAACTTACATTACATTAGGAAAGCACTGAGCATGTTTTCTGTTACAAAATAAATCTTATTTACTGTTCCATTTTAATTAGACTGTACTCATAACTTTCTAAATGTCATCATGTTCGTTTAAAAAGGCATGTAACCTGGTAACCAACTCTATTTTCACTGGAAGAGTTTCTTTCACAGCTAAGCAATGGTAAGATATTTGAACCTTTCTGCATTTTTGCATGATGCACACTTTTATTGGTTACTTTTCACACAGCCTACAGATATTGATAAAAGCATTGTTCCTGTTGGCAATGCAAGGCTGAATATGGTAGCTTGTAAAATGTGCTTTGATATTCCAGAGAGGGCCTGCATGGAAGTAAATTCTGTAAATAATTCGCAAAAGTTATTATAGTGATAGGTGTTTCTGCAGCAAAATGATAAATCTCTGCCTTCCATATAATCAAAACAACTCTGTTTTTTTTTAATTAAGAATTTTCAAAACACCAGGCATTAGAACCTTACTGGTACTGATTGGGGGATTTTGAACTTATAGGGAATATAAACAATTTTTCAGTGTGAAGTGTAGAAGTTGTATCACCTTTGTTTTGATTTTGTTTTCCTTCTCATTTTTGGGGAGAAAAGATATATACACTCACTATGTCCACACACATACTTGTGTGTTTGTTTAAATAGGAAGAGATTGGGGTATTTTCAATTCTTGTAAGCAGCCTTTGAATAGTCTGTAGAAATACTGTTGGAACAGGTACAGCTATGGAATGATTGTTTTAGACATCAAGACTAATAATTTTAGCAGTGTTTAGGAACACTGGAGAAAAGCCTTGAACTATGTGAGCACCAGGGACAGACAAGCATGAAAGATTAATGTAATTTTGCATATAATGATGCACATTCTTACACAAAAAATCCATCTGCAAGTGTCATGTCAGTCAGCAAAAATCTTTGATGGGTGGCTGCAGCTGGGCTGTCTCTTCTGGCAAAGCTGCCCTAGAAAATGCTAAATGTAGTTATGATGCTTCGTGCCATCTGTAGTATGCCAGTTTATCCTGTCTTCACTGGCATTTACAGTACTATACAGGGTATCAGCAAACACAGAGACATCAATGTGGAGTGACAGATTCATTTCCTCCAGAGGCTATGAACTCTGGTGTATACTTGTGCCACCTTCCTCTGTGTGTTATATGCTGTTGTCACTGGTATTTGGCTTGATTTCATACTTCTGTGTTTAACTCCTCTTATTTTTGATTTAGCAATTTGCATATCCTAACACAAAGGCAATTAACTTTGATTGATCCTGAAGTAATTCTATCTTAACTGAGGATATGCTTATTTTCCTGAAGTTTACCAACTGTGTCAGTGCTAGAACTTGCATTTTGATGCGACAAACATCTTGAATTATCTGAATTTAAATGCATGAAATAACCACGTATCTGATAGCAGCTGAAATTTAGTGTTTGGCCTTTTAGCTAGCATAACTGTAAAATATAACTTCTCATACTTTTAATGCACTAATGACTTAAAAAATAATCTGAATTGAATTATTCTGTGTTCCTTATGTTGGATTGACAAAATAATTTAAAATGATCTAATCGGCTGCTAATTGATGTTTTCCACAGTAACTGAATATGAAGGACATGCTCTCTCAGTACTTAAAGAATGTGAACTGCAGGCATTTGATGGGTAAGTTGGTTAGTCACTATGGAGGTTAGTGAATCTCATCATGTTGTTTTTTATTTGTATTCCAATCAAAATTATGTGAATGGGTATTAATAAGTTACACTGTTTCTCATATATATGAAACCTGGGAAATTAAGTTCTCATTAAATACTTTGGTATTTATTAATTACTGACAATAGAAATGTATCTTGGATTCATAAGTAATGGTAAATAAACATAAAGCTCTCTGAAATATGCTTCATGAGGGTTTCAGTCTCTGTATTTGTAAGAATACAAAGATAAAGAAGAAAAAGCCTGGACAAAGCCTTCTTTCACTAATACTTCTACACTGAGTCATCTTTGAATTGTTTCATCTTCGATCTTTGGGTTGACATGGAGTACTTCCCCTGTAAGGCTTTCTCCAGTAACCAGATCCAAGCTGGAAAATTAGAACCATTTTGAAAGACCATAGGCATGTGTACTTTTACCTATTTTGCTATTCTTTTTTTTTTCAGAGACACAAAAATGTAGAAATGACAAGACAACATGTTTTTTTTATTCATTGCAGTATGTAATCAATATAGCAATGCAATTTCTCAGCTTGATTTTCTCTCTAGGAGAGTGAGGGTTCCTTCCATGTTAACAGTAAACTGAAGTTTATGATTTGCAGCAGAAAACTGGAAGTTTATATCTCAGTAATTTCTGAAAGTGACACTGCTATGTGTTAATTCTTTGTCAAAGCTGTTTGTTTGTATTTATAATTTCTCTGATTTCCCCAGTCACTATTGTACTTTGAAAGACCACAGTCAGATGTCTCATACACTCTACATTTTTTTGCTATCCACTTTTTATTCAGGGACATTGAAAATTGAGGCATTTTGTCAATTTGGCTTTTTACCCCTGACTTGTGGCTGAGCTTTGGTGACAAATAGAGAGACTGCATTTGTGATGCTGCTATCTCAGCTGGGTTTTCCTATCTGTACAGAGACAGAAATAGACAATGCCATACATACATTTCTTCCCTAGTCAGGAGCCTAAAGTATCAAGGATATTTAGAGTAGCCTGGTTAGTCAGTCCTTAGTGAATAGTTGATTAAGAAAGTTGCATCTAATGGTTAAATAGATGTTTCTTTTTCTCAGAAAGACTTTTCTTCCTTCCTTCCTTCCTTCCTTCCTCCCTTCCTCCCTTCCTCCCTTCCCTTCCTTTCCTTCCTTTCCTTCCCTTCCTCCCTTTCCTTCTTTTCTTTCTTTCTTTTCCTTCCTTTCTTTCTTTCTCTCTCTTTCTTTCTTCAAGGTCTAAGTAAAATTTGTTTGCTCAAGACTTTCTACTACTTATGCATAGCAGGCTCTCACTGATTAGCATTGGAATCCCAGGTGCCTGGTGGTGTCTCTATTTACAGCCAAAAAGGCAACTCTTGATGATTAATGCTAAAACAGTAAAAATCAAAATTAGCAGCATTTTCATGTTATTCCTTGGACTCTATCTACACAGCACTCCAAAATCAGAGGAATATATATCTGTTTTCAAAAGTTTTAATAGCCAGAAGACAATCCACACAAGTCCTTCTGGGTAAACAATTTTTCAGACTTCAAAGATTAACTGGTTTTGCTATTGTGACAGAGAATTTTAAGCCTGGGAATAAACAAAAAATAAGTCAAACGAAAGCAATGACTCCTGGTTACAAGCAGGAAGAAAATGTGCTTCGAACTTTTATATTCTATTTTTTAAGCTATATATTGTATTTTTTTATTTAATGTGGCAGTGTTTAGCTAGATAGAGGAAGTAGTCCTGAAAATTAGAGATGAAAAATCAGCTTGGAAATAGTAATAGAAACTGAAAAAAAATGTTAAAGGTGATGAGGTAATTGAATTTAAATATTTGATAACGTTAATAACATAATGTGTTTTCTTATAAAGATCTGACCAATTTTACCTGGTTGAATGATTGGACATCTTTTCACAATTGCATTCATACAGATATGTGAAAAGAATATAATTTAGGTGAAATCCTCCCAAAGTAACTATGATGCTTCTGTCATAAATGCTTGGAATGTATTATTCTTGTAATTAAAATATGTTTACTAATTTGGAGAATCACTGTAATATGTACTTAAATAAACAAAAACAAGGAAAAAACAAGGTTTGCTGTAACAGAGCTTTTAGAGACAAATGCATTCCTCTCTATAGCCACAGCAGGTGGGAGTTTAATTACGCGCTCCAGAAGCAGTGATTAAGTACCTTTGTGCAAAGGATTGCTGGCACTAGGATTTTATACTTTGCTAAATCCCTCAACTGCCTGCATAGTGTATGAAAATAGCTGTTTTCAAGTGTTTTTTTTTATTTTATTGCAATATTTGGTGAGTTGTTATTGTAAGGGCAATTAAAAGGCATTGGAATGTTTGTATGGGTCAGCATTGAAAGATGTAAAGAGCTTTTCCACTGAGGCACTTAAACATGTGTTTGCTCCTTCCATCTGATCAGTTCATGTGCATGATGTGTGGTAAGGTAAGAAAAACTTTGACAGTTTTCAAGTTTTACTCCTACTCAGACAGAAAGCAGAAATAAGAATGCTTAAGGAGCATTGAGGTAACATTTACTGATCTGACAGTGAAACCCAAGCCTGTTGTTAAAGAAAGAATGTTTTCTAGCTTTTTGAAGTATCATTATGTATATGGTGTGGGGTAGCTGCCTTCCACTTGTTTGTTCAGCTATGAAAGAGCTTGTTTTGAACTGTTTGGTATTTTTGTTTTGTAATAGGGTGGTTTGTGTTGGTGGAGATGGATCTGTCAGTGAAGTTGCTCATGGGCTGCTGCTCAGAGCCCAGATAGATGCTGGGAAAGACACAGAATATGTATCAAAGCCTGTCAGAGCACCGGTTCCTCTTGGAGTAATACCAGCAGGTGAGAATGAAAGGTACTGTCACCTTTTGTTAGTCATCTGTTTTTAGTCCCTCTGGCATGTTTTACAGTTTTGGGTACTAAAGGCAGTTGTTGATGCTAAAGCTTCAGTTATGTAAGGAAGCTATTGAATAAATGTCCTAAATTGGTGATTTATATTGATTACAAATGACTTGATTTTAAATTGTAATGATAATTTATAGTAATGGCACAGATGAGCTCTTTGCCTGAAGGAAGAAGCTGAGAAAGAATAAAACTAAAATAATTTTCAGCTGATCCATACAAGATCAAGTTTCAGTCTTATTTCCTGACAGAAATCATACCAAATGAAAACTTTGTTTTCTAGATTTTCCTTTTTTTGCATCTCCAGTTTTCTTGGCAGAATTCTCAGTTGGATTCATGCTTAGGGTCTATTTTAAAATGGTGTCCCAGAAATACATTGTGTGCATTATATTAAAAAAAAAAAGGTGTGCAAAAAACTACTTTTTTCTTTACAGACATGAAAATATGTCTCTTAAAAAGTCATCTTGCTCTTTTATTAACTTGTATCTGGTGGTGTGGTTTTGTTTGTGTTGGGGGGTTTGTGTGTCCCTTCTCCTCAGTGTTTGTATTTGCCCTCCTGGGAGTGTAGCTGTGCCCAGCAGGAAGGCTTCAGCAAAAGCTGTTGTGGTTTAAGCCCAGCCAGCAGCCCAGCCCCATGCAGCTGTTTGATCACCTGTGGGATCAGGAGAGAATCAGAAGGGTAAAAGCTGAAAAACTCTTGGGTTGAGACAAAGACAGTTTAATAGGAAAAGGGAAAGCTGCATACACCATCAATGCAAAACAAAGAATTCATTCCCTGCTTCCCATGGGCAGACAGGTGTTCAGCCATCTCCAGGAGAGCAGGGCCCCATCACACGTAACAGTGGCTTGGGAAGGTAAATGCCATCACTTCAAGTGTCCCCCCTTCCCCCATTTTATACACTGAGCATGGTGTCATATGGTCTGGAATATCCCTTTGTCAGCTGGGCTCACCTGTCCTGGCTGTGTCTCCTCCCACCTTCCCAGGCACCCCCAACTTCCTCACCAGCATGGCAGTACAATGAAGAAATGGCCTTGTCTCTGTGTAAGCTCTGCTTAGCAATAACAAAAACATCTCTGTATTATCAACCCTCTGTTCAGCACAAATCCAAAACACAGCCCCATATTAGCCACTGGGAAGAAAGTTAACTACCCTAGCCAAAACCAGCACAAATCAGTACAGTCAGGGTTGATTCTGGACTGCTATATGAATCACCTCTCTTGAAGAGAGGTGATTTTTGCATGAACACTACTCTGTGGTGTGGGTGTTTGATAAGACTGCTTGACATAGTTTCTCAGATGTTTTTAACTGGTAAGGAAAATATTTCTACAGCCAGTAAAACAGCAAATCACTGTTTTGAGTTTTCTACAAAAAAAAGGAGCATGTCACTTTGAACTAAGGAAACAGATTTTTAAATGCTTTGATTTGGTTTGATCACATATAAAAGGAGCATTAGTTGCTTGTAAAGGAGCAATATTACATCGGCTTTCTCTTGGGTTAAAAAACCCTTGGTAAAAGAGACAGCAATCTCAAAGACATGACTTCAATGAATTTAAGTACCAAAGTTGGGCCATCACTTACCAGCTCAGTTACTGTGAATATCTCCATGGTGCTGAGACAGAATCTCTGCAGCCCCTGACTCCATGTCGTGTGTAGGTCACTGTGCCTTTCACTGGTGCTTTCTCTCCTCAGTTTAAGACAAATATGTTGTGATCAGAAAGGACTTGTAAACCCAAAAGAATTCTGTAGGGTTTCTTACATAGGATGGCATTGATTTTGTGAAGGAGGATCAGAACAGTTTATAAAATGATATTGTGAGAAACTCCTAATAGGTTCTTAAAAATAATTTGTTGTTTGTTTGATTTCCATATTCCTGATATTCCATGAGGTACTCAGATAGGAAACAGGTAAGTGTGATACTTGTTCTCATGAGGATGCAACTCTGGTCAGTTAACTTTTTTTTCCCACCAGAAATCCATTGTACAAAATTATTAGGATTATCCAGCCAAGTAGAATCAACAACTGAATTACAGGATAGTATTATGTGGGTGGCTTAAAATCTGGTTTTAGCCTCTATAATAAGTACTTAAGACAGCATTTTGAACTTTCAGTCATCTTGATGGGAAGAAGATGCTTTTGAAACAATTTACCTCCTGAAGAGAGAGGTCCAGAGGGGAGTATGTTTTTACTGAAATACTCTACTGAGCTGCCTTATTGTGGTCCAAATCAAATGGATGAGATGTGGGGAAGCCTGCAGTTGTACTGCTGGCCATTAGCAAGAGTGTTTGTTGCTATGGGAACTACTGCTAAGAAACTGTATGGAGGGGGAAACAGAGAAAGGGGAGGGGGATCTGTGGAAGGACGTTAAAAAAGCTATCCAGTTGCTACAGAACAAGAGACAATCCATATCTGATGCCTCTGAACCTTTTGATCCAAAGTGGTTCATATAAATAAATTAATGATTCCCAGTTAATTCAGAAAATAAAATATTACTGAGGGACTGTTAATTTCTGTGATATTTCAGGCAAAGAACCAAAATGTTGGTGCAGTTTTCATCAGAATTTTAGCTATGCTTGACTAGGAAGTCATTACATCACATTTATCTGTTTGGATGGGGGAGACATTAACAGCCTTATGAATATTCATGTCGTCTGGTTAATTAAGTTAATTGTACTGCAGAAGTGCTTGCACTTCCAAGGACAATTTTTTTCTCTACATTTTCTGTTTGGTACCTTCATCAGTCATGCTTTACATGACCTGCAGATACTCTGTTCTCACTGAGATGCTTTTGCACTTTTGGTGGAAAGGAGGTGGTAGGAAGTTGTTTGTAATGTCAGGAAAATCAGTTGATATGTTGAGCAGAATTGCATTTTGGAGTAATAAAATCTTCTTTGTTTCTGTAAAAAAATGCTGATGATAGAGATGCTGGGGTTGTATGGATAAAACCTTTTCACATTAAATTGAGTAGCTCTAGTGAGAACTAAAAATGTGACTTACTAATGTGTGAGCAGTGCAAGTCATGGGCATCAAAGGTTTTTAGTCTCTGAAGTAATATGATAGCGTTCAGAGGAACAGTTGTTGGTAAATAATATGTTGAGTTTGCATAGGGGAAAAGAGATTACTTGGGAGTATGAATAGTGGTATTAAAACCATTATTGAATCACCATTAAAATCAGAAAGGCTTATATCATTATTTTTGTATAACTTTTATAGTTTGTACTTTGTTTATAGGCTGCATGTTTTTGGGTTTACTTTGTTTGTTTTGGTTTGGATTATTTTGTCTGGCATCCTGCTTGTATAGGACTTAGTTAATTAGGCACATTATTCAGTCATTATTGGGATCAAAAGTGCTGGTAGGCATGTACTAAGTGGAGTTTTTAGAGAATATGATGGTGCTTGCTCCCACAAAACTGTGCTTGGTCTAATTCTTCAACTTGAGGAAGGATGGATGTGGTGCTTTTGTTTTTGAACACAGAACTTGTTTTATCTTCCTCAGAGTCCTGAAAGGGTGGGATTTTGCCTTGTTTACTTCTGCAAATGTTAATGAGCTCCAAAGATTTAAGAGAAGGATGCAATTACTTGTGCCTATCCTGTTTAGTAGGAATGAGATTTAAGTCTCATTAAAGTCAGTTGGAAGATTGGTACCGACTTCAGCTGTGGTTGTTTGGTATCTTGCTGCCATCTGCATTGATAAATTACTCTTAAATCAGGATTGCAGCTTAAACTCGTACCAAGCTTGATCTTCCAAACTGTATTCCACCTTGTGCTCATTAATTAGCTTGATCTTCAGTGAGAAGTGAAACATTTTTTTTTTTAATAACAACTGCCCTGTCTTGACACACAGGAAGTAAGCATGGTTTGTCTGACTTGTAACGATCTGCTGCTTGTATGTGTGATTTCCTTTGTTTTGGAGACCGACTCATAACAGTTGATAAGAGCTGTATAATACTGATTGAAGGAAATATTTGAGTATTTTTGAGTTATATCTTTAGCTACCTTCACTGGCAAAACAAAACTAGTTGGATCTGGAAGTTAAATCAAACATGAAGTCATTCAAACATGAAATATTGTCAAGTCATTCAAACATTAAATATTGTCAAGTCGTTCAAACATGAAATAGAGTTGGGCATATACTTGTAGTATTCTGGAAGAATTACTTTTTAGGTCAAAAGTAGGGTTTTTTGCAAGTTTTGGGTATCTGTTACCTTAAAAGATGTACCTCACTTCCTTCATATAGCAGGAACACAGAGCTCCTCTCTCTGATGTATGGCAGCTTTCCATGAAGTTCTGAATTGCTTTCAGAGGCTAAGGTGCACTAAGGACTTAGCAGGTGATCTGTGAGATTCCCAGTTATACTAAATTTTTTTATTTAGAGAAATTATTGGAAAAAATAAAAAATATATTCCTGAACAAGAATGGCATGATGCCTTTAGAGCTTTGTAATTATGTATATCAGTCTTTGCAAATTCAGTATTTTTTTCTACACTCTGCATGACATCAAAGCAGAATTTGAGGATAAACAAAATTTTTCAATCTGTTACATTATGCTTTTTTAAGTGCTTATTTAAATATTGAGTGCCTGTTGCTTGACATGTGACAGTATTTCCCTTTCCTCTCCTCTTTCCCCTACTTTAGAAATACAAGTAATTCTTCCATAAAACTTTTGCAAATTTAACATCCAGAATTGTCTATTGCTGCTGTAGCTTATTAAATAATTGAAACAAGAAAAATAATTTGAAAGTCTATGTGAGCTCATTTTCATATGGGAATGTTATGTTCTAAACTATTCTTATGTAATTTTTGTTCTTTTAATTAAACAGTTATTGAATTATTCATCCCTTAATCGGTGGTATGAACAAGTCAATATCCTGCTTGTTTGGTGGCAGGCCTTTATTTTTCCAGAGGTGAATTCTTTTGCTCTGCTGCTTGGCTAAGCAATGGCATAAATAAGAAAAATAAATTTGAAATTTTTTTAAAACTACACCTATTTAGGAAAGACACAACTGCTCCTTCATGATTTTAAAAATAAATTTCTATTAAAAAGTCAGCTGATGCACAGTGTTTTATGTCCTAGGTATTAAAGCAGAAGGGTAACATTTACATATATATGTCCATGTTTCTTACCCAGGTAAAGTGCCTTGACATACCAATCACCACCAGTCATGGGCCTTCAGAACTCTGCTTCTTTCTTTTGCAAACTGACAGCTGATTTTCCACTCTCTTTTTCAGCTCTGTGCTGACATTGCTGGGGTTTGACTTTTTCTTCTATTTGTCACCTGATTTATTCACTCCCTTGTTTCAAAATCTGATCTTCTCTTCTCTCTGGTGGCTGGTAGAACGACTGGCTGCCAGTGTCCAGGCAGTGACAAATAAAAGAGAGATGGATCAGTTTTGGTGCACTGAGTGCAAGTCACCTCTTTGTCAGATGTCACATTCTGCCCGCCCTGTTTTTCAGTCATTGAGTTCTTACCTGTGAAGCTGATGTGCAGTAATGAATTTTATTCACTATTCCAAGGACCTAAAATGTAGCCTGCAAGAAGCACAGCAGTTATCTTTGACTAAATTAAATATCATTTGGCTTGAAAAATATATGGTTTTATACTGTCTGGGTATTATTTTACCAACCTAAAAGTATTCCCCAAATACATCTTAGATAATCTGCCTTCCAGTTCCTTAGTACAGCACTTGGGTATGTATGAGGTGATGATAAAGGAGATGGTTTAAAAAACCTCAAACAGGCAATATTGTGAAAAGTTTGTTTCTCCCACTGATTTGTTTTTATGGCACTTGTGAATGAATTTGCAGAGAAGATTTTATAGACCTCTGGAAGTTTGAAAGGTTTTAATTTAATACTATTCAGCATTTCTGCTCTTAACAAGACAATTTATGGGCAGGCCTTTTTTTTTTTTTTTTTTTTTTTTTGGAAATGCAGTAATTAAAAATGCTGTGTAGATTTTTCTGGTTATTCTGTATCTCTCATGTTTTTTACAGCAGTTTTTTTTTCACTTTTACAGGTACTACAAATATTTTGGCCCATACACTCTATGGTATTAAACATGCAGTGACAGCAACATTGCACATTGTAATGGGTAAATATTTTTACAGTCATTACCAGATTATAAATAATAAAGCAATGTGTAGAAGTTTGTCATAACCAGTTGCTCAGTAAAGACATAGCATTTTGCTGTGTCACTGTAACCTGTATTGTAAGGCTTTTAAACCCAAATGATTCTATCCTGGGTTTAGCTCCAGGTGCCTTTCTTTTAAATAGTAACAGTTTCTATAAGAAAGCTTTATTCGTAGAAAAAACTATATCATTTGCCACTAGATCTGCACAATAAATGGATTTTGAATGTGAAAATGTAATTATGCTAAAAGGGAAAGGTAGATTGGTAGTATAAACCTTATTTTTGGGTCTTACCAATAGCAAATACTTTGTCAGAAAAATGTTAATTTTACTCTCAAAGCAGTCTTTCTTTAGAACTTTTATTTTAAATTTAAAAAAGTGAAAAAAGATTAAGGTCCCTCTTGAGTATCTCTTTTCTTGGTCCTGCAGTCTGCAGTGGAAGAGCCTTTGCTCTATTTCTCAAGTCATAATACAAAACCCTTTACAGGCAAAATCTAAACCTCTCTTTCTTTAAAAATCAGACATCCTGAATGCAATGGAAGATGCTCAGGGTCTATTAAAGAAAAAATGCATATATTCTGTCTCGAACAGAATTATATGTTTATATTTGATAACTGTAAACATGAATACATTCAAACCCTATGTTTAAGCATTCCCATATATCCTCCAGTACAATGTGCAGTCATTACATATATTTGGTGAAACGGTTGCAGAGATTTATGCAAATATTAGCAATATTACATTTTCCTTCATTCTACTTGTTGAAAATGTGCAAAAAATTAAGAGTCAGACCCTTTGCAGCCTTATGAAGTAGCTAAACATTTTCAAGCGTCTGAAATTACTACTTTGAGGGAGTCTTAATTTTATCTAGGTTGATTCTGGTTTTGCTTAGTAAAACTTCATTTCCTAGACAGAGAAGAGTCTGGAGGGGTTTTTCCCCCAGCTAAAGTAGATGAAAAAGAAATGGTAAGTTGTGTGCCATTTGAAACACAGATTTTTTTTTTTTTTTTCTGTTCTCTATCTGTGGAATTTTAGGACACGTTCAGGCAGTAGATGTGTGTACTTTCAGCACTACAAGCAAGCTGCTGCGCTTTGGGTTCTCGGCCATGTTTGGGTTTGGGGCGAGGACGCTGGCTTTGGCAGAGAAGCACCGCTGGATGCCCTCCAGCCAGAGGAAGGATTTTGCTTTCATCAAAACCCTGGCAGATCTCAAGTATGCCAAGAGATGTTATGTTTTTCTAGTATTTCTTATTTTCTTGAGGAAAGTGAAATAATAATAAATCTCATAAAGAGAGAGAGAGCAGTAGTTTATTTTAATTGTAGATAGATTTAACTCAGATGTGATGTATATCCCTCTTACAAGTTGAAGAGGAGATAAATTCTGTGCATTCAGAATCTCCTTAAAATCATCTTAACTTTGATAAAAGTGTGTATAACACTCAGAATACTGGTTTACATCATAGTAAATGTCAATACTTTTCTAGGCCAGAGGAATGTGAATTATCATTTCTCCCTCTACAAATTCCACAGGAAGACACTCATGAGAAGGACATGTAAGTAAAATTGACTCAAGCAATTCCAAAGCTACAGAAATGTGTCTTTAAAGAATAAAATTGTACATATTCTTTTCTTTGTTCAAATTTAATTAACAGGTGATATAATCTTAAAAAATATTTATTTTGACAACTGCAAACTTGTACATGTTGTCAAGTGTTTCCTGTAGACTGTTATAGAGGATATTGTTACAAGGCAGTCTTCCACTTAGTATTGTTGATTTTTTTAGTTCCACTAATATGTTACTTTTTTAATAATGTATATGTTGCTTAAATGTGCTACTGACTTCAATTTTTTTAACCTACATGTTTCCACCCTTTTAGAAAGAAGAAAGATAGAATGAAAAAAGGTGAGTTTCTGCTTTTAGGATTTTTTAAAAGTGAACCATGGCTGATTAACTGGAGTAATATAGAATTACTCTGTTATATTTAGGTAGCAAGGATCAATGGCAGAAAATTCAGGGTCACTTCCTGAATGTGAGCATTATGGCAATCCCTTGTCTGTGTTCAATGGCACCAAGAGGCTTGGCACCTAATACGAGGTCAGTATGGGTTTAGAGAATTAGTCATGTCTATAAATTCTGACATCTTACCTTAAGACCTTGGCTTTTCCGAGAATATCAGCCTATGTTTAGGTAGTCTAGTCCCTCTGGACTGGGGGAGGGAGCGTAGACTGCAGCAGACTCGATAATCCCAGGAATTGTAATCAGTTTTTGGATCAGGCAAATAAGGTCAAGCAGTCTAACTAGAATTATGAGTGGATAATTGCTGTGATTAAATTAGTTGGCAAGTCTGACTTAAGTAGTAGTCATGGAGCAGTCATCTGTCATAGGATTTGGCTTTATGGGGAAACTTCACCCTTAGATTTAATTTTATTTTTTCAAATATAAAAGTGGCCCTTGTCTTCCGTTCTACAGCCAGTAAAAAATGAAATATGAGTCTTTCTCATGTTATTAAGGACTAAAGTTCACACTTGTCTTTTTCTTATTGTTATTATTTGTTTGGTTTCCCTCAGAACTTGAGAAACTAAGCTTCTACATGCAAGGTTTGGGGAAACAAAGGAGTATGTAACCTGGTTGTTGACATTGACTCTTTCTGCATTAGCTCCTTGTTGAGAGCCTGCTTTGTGGTGACCAAAGCAGTTCTTACGTGGTAAATATTTGTGCCTGTTGTATCCAGTTGGCAACTGAGCAGAATAGCAAGTACAAGCTTCGTAGTTGTATGCAAAGTACAAAATTCTCCCTCAAAAAAAGAATGCAGAGACTCATGTGTGTGTAAATGAATGTGTACCAAAAAAACCCCAACACTCAGGGAAGTTAATGGAATGAGTCTCTTTTCTTTCATTAGATTGTCACTAGCTGAAATTGCAGAAGAACTGATGAGGTATTTTTCTTCAAAATTAATGGCTTATTAATGGCTTAAGAATTTGACTTCTTGGAAAGAATGTAGAACCAAATTATTTATGAATAAACTCTTAATGAGAAGTTTTCTTTGCTCCCAGGGTCCCTCTAATCTCACAGTCCTCAAGATAGTGCTCTGATGCTGTCCCATCTTAGGAACTTTGTTCTCCATTTATTTTCCAGTCAGCTGGAAAATTCTGATGAGAATTTTAGCTTTGCTTTCTCTTTCTCTCTGTTCTTCCCCATTTCTCAGTGACAGGGAATTTTGTGACAACTCCATGCAGTTATTGCAGGTTTGAATGAGCCAGTTTCTCTCCCAGTGTAGCTGCTCAGTTGATCTTTTTTTTTTTTTTTTTTTTTTTTGTGTGTGTGTAAGAATACCCTTTGTTCTTTCAGCTCTTATTATTAAAAATAATCTTGAAGTGTGGTCAGCTAGTAGAGTAGGAAGGGTAGACTCAAACAGGAGCTTCCTTTGTCATAGTGAATAACATATTGACTGTAAGTCTTTTCAGTATGGGAAACAAAAACGTGGCAGTGATTGTTAGAGACTCCAGGCCCACTATGGAAGGAACTCATGTGGGTTTCTTCTCTCTCTTCTTTTTTGCCAAGAGGTTTCTGCCATGTGAAGCCATTTGAAGTGGGGTGCAAGCTTTGGCTGCTGCCTGTAACACCACTTACACTGGTCTAAATTTGCAGAAACGTGTCCAGATACATTTAACTGTCTGTGCTATGTGAGCCCTGGGGGATGTCTTTTTCACAGCATAGGTGTTGTGCTTCACTGCAGATGGGGCTTTTTAGAGAATTAATGAGAATTTTTAGTAATTTCTAAAGATGAAAGGCCCTAGTGCTGAATGCCCAGTAGTCTGCTGTGCCCTTTTATTGAAACAAATATGATAAGGAGGCAACTTTTTAAATGTCATCATCACTCTTTCCTGAATCAGCAAAGTACTGCTGTGCCAGGTGACTTGCTTAATGTTTATGTAACAAATACCCTCCCAGATAGTGCTGTTACCATGGTCTGAGAACCTTCCTGATGCAGCTGTTGAGTAGCTGTCTGAACTATCCCTTTCAGTGCTGGTAGGCTGGAAGTAATTTTTTAAACACTCTTAAGATATTTTCCTAACATAGATGCTGAATAAATGAATAAATATATGTGCAAAAGATAGGAAATACAACATCTCTCTCCAGAAGGCAGTCTCAGCAGGGATTGCCATGTTCATCAGGTACTCTTGTTGAACACTGATCTGTCTCTATAACTCAAATGGGACTCAGGCATGGTTGCATGGATATTCCAGTTGTTAGTTTCTGTGCCCAGTCCATTAAGGAATGGGAGAACTGGCACTGGCTCACAGTTTGACCCCAGTTCTCAAAGATGCTAAAATACCTGTGGTGACTGGATACTGAGAGCTACTGAACATCTGCACTATGCGGGCTCTTGTTTAATCTCTAGTACATGGCTGTTTTATCTCATACAAAACTCTCAGTCCTTAACTTTTATTTTGTTTTGTGAAATGTATAAATAGAACTGTACTAAGAACTGCTATGAGAGTGTGAGTTGGAGATGTCACCTTCGTTAGGGCAGCGTGGGTGTTGGTGGAGGGGGTGGGGGAACCCATCTGCGCTGGGTCTGTGCTGGGGGGGCTTCCATGCACCTTGGCACTGTTTTATGGGTACAGCTCTGCCTCACAGCACTTATGGTAACTGTTATTTGTTGCTGGAGAGAAAAGTAAAAAGAGAAGTTTGTGATCCCTGATGTTTAAAAGCCATCTGTTAAGTAGAAAAGCAAGCTTTTCTTAGATTATATGTATTGTATTCGAGAAATTATGGGTATTGATAAAGGACTACAAGTTATTATTACAATGTATGTTATAAATATATTGATGCTGAATAACTTCAGTGCATCATTTATATTGATCTACAGGGTTGGGGGGTCAGTGAAAAGATTTGAAAAACCATTGAGACTATCCTATTAATTTATTCTTGTAGGCTTTTGAAAAAATTTCTTTCTAATCTAGGCTATTGAAGTGCCTGCTATACTTCCAAATTAATGATGAAAGATAATTATCTTTTTGGTCTGCTTTTCAGGTTGAACAATGGAAGCATGGCTCTTATTGTTGTACAAAATACTTCTCGAACAGAGTTTATAAAGCATCTGAAGAGATACACCAGTGCAAAAAATCAGGTACCCTTAATTTCTTTCTGGTGATTATAAAAAGAACAGTTAATCGTGAAAGTAGACAAGCTGCAAGAGTTAATGTTAGCATCCTCGTAAGGAGACTTAGCTTCCTGTCAGAATACATTAGCCCCTTTTTATCTGATTTTTTTTTTCTTTTTTTAAATCACTAGACTAATACAGATTAGCCTATTTCAGTCCATCTGTTGTGGTTTAAATTGTGTTTCTGTTGTACCATAGTTTTATGGGTGTAAAGCCCTTCCACCACAATAAGGAAATGCATGCTGTGTCTGAATTTTGTGTAGTGCAGAGATGAAGAGTGCAGAACTGCAGGGGCATCACACAACTGTGTCAGAAATTGGTGAAGGTGGTAATTTCAGCAGGTCATGGCATGATGTGCTGGTAGCAGTGGGCTGTGAGCATTGATTTTTAGCAGGTATTCATCCCATCTAGTTATGTTTGCAGAACTGTATTTCAAAATTGTCATAATTCTGTCATGGAAGAGAAAAATGAAGCATTCAAGCACAGATCTTACTGCTGTCTAAAGCCCACTGCATGGCCCAAACACACTGGTACTCATTCAGGTGTTCTGGGATTATGAGAAATCACTGCAACAGGAAGGTTTGGGTTTGAATTCATCTACAGCCAGAGAGTTTGGGGGAGAGATGGGTGAAAATTCAGGTGATAGCATTAATGGCTGAATTGAGGAAATAGCTTAAGCTTTCCAGTTATGCTTTTGGAGGAAGGCCTTGCTTTTCTCTCTGCCTTTGTAGTTACAAATCATTTACTAGAATTCTAACTAGCCTGGTTTAGGACAAGATGACTGTAATGAACAGAGCACAGGAAATAATCTGCTTGGACTTTCATATATTCTGAAAGTATTTGGTATGTGCAAAATCTACCCCCTTACCTGCAGGTTGATCGAGTCCAATACAGGAATACAAATGGAACACTATTTTTTTTTCCTGAGGCACTATTTAGGATATAAACAACACATTAATCTATAAACACTAGCTGGAATATATAATGGCTCATGTGGTCAAAGCTTGAGTTAAATGTTCCTACTTAGAACAAAAAATGTGCCAGCTTTTTGATTTCAAGTAACCCATTTTGTTTTAAGCTACCACCTGCATCGTTTATCTTCATTTGCGGTCTGTCTGTGTTTGGTTTAGTTCAATTTTCCCTTTGTTGAGACCTACACAGTTCGAGAAGTAAAAGTACAACCAAGGCTTAAAAGTGGACCTGATGCCAAGGAAAATGTGTGTCTGAATGCAGAAGGAAACTACCCTTGGAATATAGATGGAGACTTAATGAAGGAAGCATCGGAAGTTCATGTCCGGTAAGGTTCAGTATCCCTTTTAGGGACCATATTCCCGTAACAGAGTAGTGCTGCAATCTCAGATGTGTCACATCTCTGCAGAGCACAGATGGTACCAGAGTCAGGTGTTCTAAATGCTCCCACACAGAACTGCTTGCACTGCAGGGTCTGGCCCTTCCGCCATCGTTTGGGCCTCTGCCTTGGCTGCCTTGTGTTCATCTTTGGAAAGGTTTGTTATAACTCACATGGCCTTTCATCCTGGTGTTTTGTCAGCTTCCACTCCATTCTCTTTTGTTGCTTTACTACTTCTTGTTTCTTCTTTCCTGCTACTTTACCCTTCCATTCCTTGAAGAACAGATGTGTATAATGTGTCTCCATGAGGAGCTCCTTTTGGGACAAGGATTCCCATTTAGAAAGCAGCATGTGTAAGGTTAAGAAAAACATGTAGTTCTTCAATTGTGGAAAACTTAATGCTGCTTGAGAATAGTCTCCACATCCAGCATCTAAGAATGAGACTACAAATACATAGGAAATGGGAGGATTATCAGTGGAATTAAGTGGGCAGCAGCTCATTTTTCTGCAATGCACACAGGATTAGTTGAAGGCACACAGATCAGAGTAAGTCTGGTATATGAAAAAAAAAGGCAGATCATGTTGTAGGATATATATTCTTCTAAAGATGATCCTATAGGAATTGTCAAAATGTAATTCACCCTGATTTATTTCCATATAAAAGCTCATACATATTAATTCTCCTCACCAACCTCAAGAAGCAGCACACCCATTGCAAGAGTTGATGACACTTGATTGATAAAGTTTGACTTCCTTGCTTCACAGGGTGCATCCTCAACTTATTGATCTCTATGGAGTGAACACTGATGATCTGGAGAGTTCCCAAGTGACGTGCAACTGCATATAGAAGGGACACACTGGGAATTCTGTAATAAAGAATCCTGTTCTTACCCCTATGCACAGCTTTCCAAGGTCTGGACTTGTCCTGATGTCAGTTGTAGCAGAAGCTTAATGGGTAAGGGTTAGGGTTTGCTCTAATTCTAGGTTTAAATTGTTATTAAATTATATATTTTTATCAGGCTCTATTTAACTGTACTGAAGGTGTGAGGCTTTAAAAAGTGAAAATTGTTTGTATTGGTCTCTTACCAATTTGGGGCTTGAGAAGTGTCCATCAGAATAGAATTTTTTTTTTTTCTTTAGTCTAGATTTTTTTAGACTGAGATACTTCTAAGTCTGCTGCTGCTATCCATGTTGTCAGGTAACTCAGTTCAGCATAGGGAAGAACCATACCTCTACTCACCAGCTCTAGCTGAAGAATAAAAAAATGAAAATGTCAAAATAAAAATGTATGCATTTATTTTTTTAATCAAGTACTTCTATTCCTACTAATGATTTTTTAATGGTGCCTTAATACATTTTCTCTCAAAATGTTTCTAGTCAAATAATATAAAAGAATATGTTGATGTCCTGTATGGCTTTTCTTTGTTAAAATGTATTTTAAAAACTGCTCTTTGTATAAAATTAATATTGTCTCTGTCTTAGAATTTAAACATTATTCAGCATAGTTTTTGTTGTTGCTAAGACTAGAGTTGTGATAAATAACTTAAGAGTTGACTTAAATTTTTATAATTTCCTTGTAGGGCATAAACATAATTTTTGAGTGTTTGTTTTTTTGGTGTTTTACTTAATATTGAAGACAATTATTTCAGAGGACAGCAAATGAAGACTATATTTTTTCTGGGAACTGGCTTCCTTTGAGATGAAAAGTAGCAGACCACATTTTTCCATTTGCAGGACCATGGATAACAAATGTTTTCCTGGTCACTGCTCCAGGAGTGGTTCAGAAGGCAGTGCACAAATGAAAGCTGCATTGTGTCAGGGCAAGAGTGAGTTGGTTTAGGTGCTTTCTTCAGGAAGCAGTCGAGTGAAATGTGAAATCCAGTCTTTGTATGATGTTGCTACATCAAGGGCTTAAGTCTTTACAAGAGATCTATAGCTACTATGATTTTAAATAGTTGTAAAAATTCTTATCTGTGATAAATACACAGGACTGAGCACTGCACCTAAAGTACTGCAGATGAGGATTTGGCTCCTAAACCCAAGCTGTTGCCTGTTGTCCAAGTCACAGGCAGCAGTCTCCACTTAAAATTCATACTCTATACCATCAAGTATTTTTAACATGCTAAGGCAATTCAAACTAAACATCTTTCAGCTGTTTAAAAAGGCATTCCAGCAGCATTTAGTAGATTTAACTTATTTATTAAATGAAATTTAACAAAAGAATTGAATTTGCAGAACGAACGGCATTCATCTGTTTAACTTGTTTGGGGCTTTTTTAAATAAAATGCAGTTTAGTAATACTTTATAATCTTGCCACCATCAGGACATTGTACATTCATTTTTTGTCAACCTGGTTTATAAAAGCTTCATAACTTTGCTTCATATCCTAAGAAAAGGCAGCCAACATATACATGTTAACAATCAAATCTGAATAGAAAGTGTACAATTTCCAAGGCATCATTATCACATGTACTGACTTATGTAAACTATTTAAAAGATAAATAAAATGCTTTTGTTTCACTTCCTTGCATTGTTTGTATTCAAAAGAACATGAATGCTTCTTCCAGTATTTGAGGTATATTTTTCACAGTATGCTGTAATTTCAAGCTAATTTCTATTGAAAGGTTTTTCTGGTTAAAGTGCAAAAACTCACTAAAGCCATTTGGAAGGTAAGCATTTTTTGGTACAGTTTTCACACATATTTGCAAGAAAGTATTTAATTCTTGACATACTTTATTTTGAGTTTTTAAAAAAATATATGCACATTCATTTGTCCTTGCACTGTAGATATTAGAGGAAAACATACTTTGGAGTGATCCACATCTTTGGCATCAAATGAAGTGAAAGGAAGATACAAAATGGTCCCAAATACCTTTGGAATCTGTGGGTAACATGGCTTTTATGGCACCAAGCACTCTAGTAGCAGAAGTGCTTGCTGAAGGCACTTGCTGTGGGTCTGAGTTTCAGGCTAGTTCCCATAGGATGGATGGTGCAGCTCTGAAGCATTTGTGCAGGTGACATTCCATTCTTGGTGCAGTTCAGAAAGACACCCAAGGCCCAGCCTCACAGCCAGGCTCTGACCTTCTGCTGCAATAAATCTTGTTACTGAAGAAGCTGAATGTTCTCCAGCTGCTCTGGGGAGCAAAGGAAGGTTTGTTTCCCTTGTGCCTTGTGCTGTTTCACCAAAGCTAGGTGGCAGTGCAAACTTAGCTAGCTGAAGAAACTTCCTGGAGTAGCAGAGCAGTGGTTTGATCCATGTTTCTGGTCAGTCCTTTGCCTTTCTGCCGAGTGGCTGCTGAGGGTGCCTGTTTGGATGGTATTTATCTGACACCTTCCAAGAACCCAAGCTGGCTCTCCAAGTGGCTTCTTTATTAAGTACTTTCTAAAGTACTTAATCTAAAGATAAAATTTGGCCCATTACAGTTGGCAGTTGGAGTCTTTTTGGTACCTGTGTCTCTCTGTTTTGTCAGCTTAAGCCTGTCTTTTTTTTCAGGTTCTGGAAGAATGCCAGCACTAAATCCTACAATATGTACTATAGAAAAATCTTCAAATAAATAAAAATAAATACTTGCTTTAAGAAAAACCCCACATAGAAATAATTCATTGGAGAAGTCCAAAACCTTATGGCAGCACTGTCTGAGGAAAGGATGAAACAAGTAATTCTATCATGCTTGCAAGTACCATGTTATAGATGACTACAAATTATAATCTCCAATACTTTAATCTTCCTACAGCTGCATCTCCAGGCTACCCCACACAATTCCCTGCTCTGAATTCACCTTTGGCCTTCCTGGTTCTGGCTTTCTTGGGTGTCTAAGTACCTTCAGTGATGTGGCTGTGCCTGTGAAGCCAAAGCTTACGAGGCTCCCTGCAGAAGCCCAGAGCTTCTGAGAGCCGTTTTCTGTGTCCGTGTGTCCTGCTTACAGTCCCCTAGGGGTATGAGCTAATTTATCCTTGGTAAAATGCCAGACAAAGATGAGAGAGCATTTCTTCTTGAATGCCTGATCAAAATATTACTGAAACCTTAAAAATGATAGAATAACTCATGGTAATGTGTTTGAGATCTTACTTTCCAGGATTGGCCAAAATTATTGCTGTCTACATATACTTCCTTTTGGTAAGTAATTTGTCTTCTCTTTATCTTTAGTGTTCTTCTGTCTGTTTGAAACCAGATATATATATATACACACATATATATTGCATTTCAAATATTACTGGCAGACTTCAGAACAAACTGGTTTACCATTTTCATATTAGAACAGTATTGTAAAGTGTATCCTCCATACAGTTCAAGGAAATAAAACATGTTTTGTAAGAACAAGTAAGCTCACAGCTTAGGTTTCCTTTTGCTGATGTTTCTCCTGTGAGTTAATCTGAATTTTAATTTCTTCATTTTAAAATCAAATGTTTATTTGCCATCTTAGTCATTTTTGTTCCCACTTTTAAAACTCCAGCTGTCTCTTCTGTTCGTGTCTTGAGGGACCGGTTTGTATTTCCTTTTGAAGAAGCCAATCTGAAATACATAATTTGGAATCTGTTGTCAGCAAATCTTTGTCATCAAATCTAAACCATAAAAGATTAATTAAAATAAAAATGCCTATGTGTGGCATATATGAGGTATGGTATTTGCCAGTGCTTTGTCATACCAAGTACTCAAGTTTTACTCATCAATTAAAAAAGTAGGTTTGCTTTTTCTTTTTTTGGTTTTTGGGAGGTTAATGCTCTCCTGTATGGAGTAAAGACTTGGGCTTGTGAACTTTAACAGTCCACAGAATCCAGTATTTTTAAAAATATGGTAATAAAATGTTCCAGTTAAATTTGTTTCATTCCTACATGTCCATGTAAAAATGATGGATGGAGAAAGCCTCCATGTAGGTAAAGAAGTTAACAATCTCTTAATCACTTGTCAGAGGGTCTGCATCCTTATTAGTTTTCTCTTTTACTTAGACACAGAATTTTATTACTATTTAGGTTGCAGTTTGAAATATCAAACATTTTATACTGGTATGAAACTGTGTTTTAAACTATCAGTCATCATGTGTCAAGTGATATTAAATGTGGAGAACCATTACACAAAAATGATCCATTTGATATCATTAAAATACATAAATCATTTGCAAACATGAGATGCCATATAAAACATTGCAAAGGGACTTGTGGTGTTGAGCAACAGAAAATGTAGAACAGGCAGAAGATGAAGTGACATGAGAAAATGCAGAAATACTTTTGAAGACCCCCAAGTTACAGGAGGAATTATCTTTCTTTAGAAAGGACAGATCATAATAAAATGTTATTTATTCTTTAACCCATATCCAAAAGTCCTTCAACAGTATAAATTCCTGACTTGAAGCAGCTAAGGAATACTAAAAACCTACCTTCCATAATATAAAGGAAAGAACCAATAACAAGGTAACACCAACTATTAAGCCGAGGGAAATAATTAGCACAGTAACACGGTATTTTGGCTTTTGGTGGTGCATTCCTTCCAAATAGACCTGAAAAACAGAAAATAAGCTTAGTGCTAACTGTTGGGAGTTTTTTCCCTAATAGATACTAAAAAAAACTAGGAAAATTAATTAATTTAAAAAGTAATTAACACTATATTCATTGCTGGTGTATAGGTATGTACAGAATTGTGCAATATTAATTGCTGTTAGTTTTTCTACTTTAATGTGTTCATCACAAATTCCTAAGAGAATTCTTACATATGCAACTTGCTTGTCCTTATGTATTTCAATAACTTTTGCACTTTTTTCTGGCCAGGCCGTCGCTCTTACTTCAAACTTCAATACTGATGCATCATCCTGATTAAAAAAAAAAAAAATCTATCTTTTAAAAAATGACTTTAACACACTGATTCCTGCCCAGCAAAAAGTGATAAAACAGCTGCTGACATAACCAGAATCTCACACAAACACACAATGGTGCCTTTTTCTGAGCACAAAACAAATTAGTACCAGAAGCTGGAATGAAGCCAGGTTGGATTTTACTTAAGTCCACATCCATGCTGCTTTTCTTAGAAAAATACAACTACGAGTTGAAATTAAATCCCCATCGTACATAACCCAGCCAGAATAGGCAAAGCAATACATACTATAAATATAAAGTGACAAAATAAAATACATATTTTTGTTTTTCATACATCACCTTGAGCCTTAGCATTGGCAACACAAAATAGGTTAAAACCTAGAAGATTTAGATTTAATTGTGTTTGAATCATGTTTCACTGTCAGAAAACAAATACTAAT